CGGGCTGTGCAACGCCCCCGCTACGTTCCAAGCTTTGATGAATGACGTCCTTCGGCCCTTCCTCCGCCGCTTTGTGCTTGTGTTTTTTGATGACATTCTGATTTACAGTCGTACATGGGCGGATCACCTACGCCACCTGCGCGCCGTCTTCGGGGCGCTCCAGCAGCACCAGCTCTTCGTGAAGCGCTCCAAATGCGTGTTCACGGCGTCTTCTATCGCGTACCTCGGCCACGTGGTGTCGGCCGCGGGCGTCGCCATGGATCCGACAAAGGTGCAGGCTGTGCGGGGGGTGGCAAAGACCACGATCTGCGCAGCAGCGGTGCGCGCTTCTTCAGGACTTGCCGGGTACTACCGGAAGTTCGTGCACAACTACGGCACCATCGCCGCGCCTCTCACCGCCCTGCTCAAGAAGGACGGGTTCGCTTGGTCGCCCGATGCGGCTGCTGCGTTCACCGCGCTAAAGGCGGCGGTCACCTCGGCCCCGGTGCTCGCCATGCCGGACTTCTCCAAGACATTCGTCAGTGAGAGTGCGACGCGCCCTCGCATGGGCTTCGGGCGGTCTTTGGTCGAGACAGCCACCCGGTGGCCTTCTTCACCCACTGTGGCTCCCCGGCACCGAAGCTCTCGCGCGCGTCTGGCCTTGAATCGATCGGCCTCGTCCAGGCCGTGCGCCACTGGAGGCCCTACCTTTGGGGGCGGCGCTTCGAGGTCAAGACAGATCATTACAGCCTCAAGTACTTGTTGGATCAGAGGCTGTCCACGATCCCGCAACACCATTGGGTCGGGAAACTCCTCGGTTTCGACTTCACTGTTGAGTACAAGCCGGGGCATACAAATGCCGTGGCAGACGCCCTATCGCGCCGCGATACTCCGGAGGCGGGCTCGGTGATCTTTGCTTTGTCCGGACCGCGCTTCGACTTCTCGACCGCCGCCAAGCTCATGCATCCGACCGAAAGTGGTTGCCCCTCAGACGCCATCGGCCCGCGGCTCCAAGTCGCAGCCTGGGCCTTCACCGACGGGTTGGTCCACTACGGCGGACGGCGGCTGTACCGCCGACTCACCGCTGCTGCGGGGAGGTGTGCGGGCGGTCCATGAGGAGGGCCATGAGGGCGCCCAGCAGATCTCGCACCGACTCGCCCGCGACTTCCACTTCCCTAACATGAAACGTGTGGTGCGGGACCTTGTTCGATGCGTGTACAGTGTGCGGCGCAACAAGCGGAACATCTCCACCGGCCGGACTGTTGTTGTTACCACCCAAAGGTGCCACAGGGTGTTTGGTCGGATATCGCCATGGACTTCGTCGGATGCCGCCTTGCAGACGGGCAAGTCGATCATCTTGACGGTGGTGGACCGTTTAAAGCAAGCACGCGCACTTTATACCTGGCGCACCCGACTCGGCGGAGAGCGTGGCCATCCTTCTTCTCGAAATCGTTCGTCCAGACGGCATTCGCGAGCCCATCGTCTCCGACCGCGACTCCGTGTTCACTTCCAATTTCTGGGACGAGCTGATGCGCTTGAGTGGCACCAAGCTGCGGATGACGACGGCTTTCCACCCTTGATCGGATGGGAAATCGGAGTCCGCTAACAAAGTCATCATCATGTACCTTCGATGCTTGACGGTGATCGCCCACGCGACCGCTCCGCGCGGCTTCCATGGGCGGAGTACGTCTTCAACACCGCCTTCCAGTCGTCGTTGCGCGACACGCCGTTCCGCGTCGTCTACGGTCGCGATCCACCGTCCCTGCGCACCTACGCGCATGGTGACTCCAGGGTGCCGGCGGTGGCCCACACGCTCGAGGAACGCAAGGAGTTCCTGGAGGACATTCGCCACCGGCTCGGCGAGCTCGAGCCATACTGAAGCGCCACCACGACCATCTCCACCGCGAGGTCACCTACCAGGCGGCCGGGCGACCGGGTCTCCGCCGACTTCGTCGGTGCCCCTCTGCATCCATGCCCCAAGCATCGGCTGGTAAGCTCAAGCCTCGCTTCTACGGGCCATACCGCGTCGTCGAGCTCATCAACGACGTCGCAGTCCGCCTGGCCCTGCCTCCTCAAGCTCGCCTCCACGATGTCTTCCACGTTGGGCTGCTCAAGAAATTCCATGGCAACCCACCGCCGGAACCACCAGCCCTCCCTCCTGTTTCGCCATGGCGCGGTCGTTCCAGCCGGAGCGGGCTGTCAAGTCACGTTTGGCGCGCGGAGTGCGCCAGGTCCTCGTTCGATGGAAGGGGCGTCGCCGACTTCAAACAACACGGGAGGATGTCGACTCGCCCGCACCCGATACCCCCAATTTCAGCTCGAGGACGAGCTGCCTCTTGAGGAGGGGAGAGATGTAATGTCACGGGCACTGCGTACACGCGGCATCGCAGGCACGCGATGCGCGATGTGCGCCGCTGCTGATCGAGCAAACGCCTGAAGTCGGCAGGAGATCACGTCAAGTGGCTAAGATTAGAAGGAAGAGAGTAATTGGTTGTTTCCTTGTTTTGTTATTTTCCTTTGGCAGTCCTTAAGTTTAGGAAGAGTGGTTGGGCCGGTGGCCATATATTCCTGTAACCGCTCATGGAGAGATTAAGCAAGAATCATTCAATCTAATCTCCTACCTCTTCTCTAAGCCACAAGCCTGGGGGCAAAACCCGGCGAGTGTTGAGCGACGTGGGGGCATAACCCCGTCGTGTTTACCACGGAGCGGAGGTACGAGCTCCGTAGTCGAGGCCCGGCGTCCCTGCCGCATACCGCCCTTGACAGTGGGCGTTGCCTGCTCAGTTGAGTTGCATGCACAAAATCTTGCTCTAGACCTGGGAATTGGCATCTTGAACATTGAGACAGATGCCCAGCTACTTGCCCATGCACAGAAGTGGAGAGATCGTAACACCTCGCTGCAAGCAGTTGCTCTGTAGGATGCAAAGTTCATGATGATAACATGTTTTCAGAATTGTATGATACAACTTTGTAACTGTCTGACATATCTTGTACCATCATATATTGCTGAAATAGTTGCAGGTGGAAACCCTGTACATGTGTACTATTAAAGTCCCAATCATGAGAAATTTATTTGGCAATTAGAAACTCTGCTTTTAGTTGTAATTCTAGCACAAGTTGTCACTACCCAATTTCTTGGTTCTCTATGGCCATGATGTCATGTTGCCTAGTTCATTATCTTATTGGGTCCGTTCGCTGGTCTGGTCTGGCTGACCAGCCGGCTGCTCCTCCTCATAAAGCACTGTGCATCTTCCCTCCGCTACATTATTTCTCTCTCACAACAATCAGCCTATACAGTGTTTTGGCTTCTTTTTACAGTATGTCCCAGAATGGATGTGCTACGAACATAACTCCTGCTGATTTCTTCTTGGGTCATCTTTTTTTTGTTTGTGCATAGAAGTGTGCCGTTAATGTGTAAATATTCTGGAGGCCCTTTTTTTTTGAAATTGCCTTTCTGCTCTATGATGGGAAAGGCAAAATGGCATCTAGCAGTGTCAGATTTGCAACAAAAAATCTCTTAAAAAGTACAATAGCCTGATTAGCCACAGGCCCGAACAGCAAGAACAAGTCTAGAATGCATAATCACGCTATTGAGCCACAACACAACTATCATTAGCTGCCAACTCCAAGTTTTCGTCCTACATGAACGATAAATTCACGAATTGAAATAAATTATTGAATGCAGCGCTTGAGGGCTACATGTACAAGCCACATGTTGCCCAGAAAGACAAAACTATATCAAAAGAGCAAAAAAGATAAGTCTCGATGATAATTCAAAAGCCTCCTCACTCAGATCAACCATCTTTTCATGTGTCATCATCCATGTAACTACTATAAGATTTACTACACAGATAAAAAATGACCAGCACTTGAAGCACTCATAAAATGCAGTTAAATTGCAACAATAGTTACAAAACCAGCTGCACTCATTTGTATTTGCTAGTAGTGCTTGATAACTAAAAAAAAAAACTGGAATGCAGTCAATTTGCAACAAACATTACAACTCACCACTAATTTGCAATGTGCAAGTTGCAGTAAGACGTGTATAGGCAAAGATCTTCAAGGTGAGATTTATGCAATTTTCCAAAAAGGCTCTACTAGCTCAAATCAAATCCTAATTCACAAAAGGGAATGCTTGAAATTACAACTATATTCACTCTAAAAAAAACAGTTAAACAGTAAAAACAAAACAAGAAGCAAAAACCAGATATATATGCTGTGCAGTTAATGTCACAGCGTAATATGTACCCTATGTTTTTCAAGTGCCCAATCAAAATGTCTGTATACATATTCTGCTTTTCATTCATAATAGGTCCATCTTGAATACGGTTCAGAGTTCAGACCATAAGCCAGTTCAGAGTTCAGACTATGAGCATGAATCAAAGGTTTCATCTATGGAGGAGCCCAAATCAACTATTGCACTTGCCATTAACCGGACCTGGGTAAATTGCTAAAATCCAACAGACAAGTTTTGCGGCAGACAAACTTTTTCAGTCTTGAGTCTTGACAAACTTCACCATCTACCTACAGCTACAGGTTTTGGGCTCAGAAAACGACCAGCAGATGAAGCAACTGATGTCAAACACAATCGCAAGAAATTAGCAAACAATGCTGCGAACAGATACTAAGAATCATTTTCACATTGAGGCGCTAAGCAATTGAACAGAATACCAGAGCAATGAACCAAGGATCTATTTGCTTCAGTCAGAACATTGTAACTGAGCCAAGAACTAACAAATCATCGTTTCTTGGCATCAAGAAATTCTGTTCCTCACAGCTGAACACAAATCTGAACAAAAGAGCAGGAACGCAGCTAAGCTCGATCAGTTTCAAGAAAGCGAATGCCAGAAACAACAAAGGAATCTTTCAAGAACTAATCCAGACCATCAGACATCACGCACCACCGGACTACCCTCGATCAGTTCCAATCCTTCAAGAACCTCTCCAAGAACTGAGATCCAGTACCAGACCGCCCCACAGGAGGCTTCAACACCGTCCCATCCAAGCTTGATCACGCGTGTCTACTGCGATGACGACGCGTCCGGTAGTATTTCGTCGTCCGCCGGAAGCGGCAACACCTCCGCCAAATCCGGCGTCGACGTCCGCGGCAACTGCGCTAGCGGTGGCGCCGATGCTGATGACGACGCCTCCGGTAGTGCTTCGTCGAACCAGTGCGCCGGAAGCAACGCCTCCTCCAAATCCAACGTCGACGTCGACGCCGATGCTGTCGAAGACGGCGGTGGCGACGATGGCGGTGGCCGCTTCCACGGCAGCACGGGATGGGGATCCTGGCGGCAGATCGGGCAGGACGTCCTCGGCCCAGTGCGAAGCCATTGGTCGATGCCGTTCTGGCACTTGACGCTGCCGCCGCAGTGGAACGCGTGGTCGCAGGAGAGCGTGCGGACCTTCTCGCCGGCCTCCATGCTGTCTTGGCACAGGGTGCAGGTGTAGTTCAGCTTCCGCCTCAGGGTGGTGACGCCGCCGAGCCTGAAGAGGCGCATCCGTGGCGATTGCCACCATATCTTGACCTCGAGGGTGCACACGGAAATGAAGGAGGCGCACACGAACACGGCGACGACGGCAAAGAAGAAGACGAACACGGCGCGGCCGGCGATGGCCATCCAATAGCTGAGGTCGGCTGCCATCAATCCTTCGCCCCCCTGACTCTTTCGTCTTCTTCTTCTCCTCTCGATCGCTCTCTCTTGCTCTGGATTTCTCGCTCGCTCTCGCACGACGTTCTTGGATTGTGTTGTGCTCGTTTGGAAGGCTGGCCAAACGGGGTGGCGGCTATTTGTAGGGAGGATGCTGAACTGCTGATAAGTCGGTTGGCTTGATCAGTTAGTTACAAGGTGGGACCCGTGGCTCGACTCCCGAAGGCGGCAGTTGGAACTGGAAGAGCAGGGAGGGCCGAAGGGCTTGGAAATGACAAGGGCAAGGATGGCTGGAGATGGAATGCTGGCAGATTCCCAAGAATGAGGGCCGAGGGGCTTGGCAATGTGCATGGACTACTCTGGACGCAGTACAATGAGCAACTCTGAAAGTGGATTCTGAATTGCATTGTCGTTCTTACACTGAAACCAGGCCTGACCAAACTAAACAAAACATCACCAGTGACCCTAACAACTAAAGAGCTGCTTGAAGAGCTGGACAGGCTAAGGAAGCGTGCGGGGGCCGGGACACACAACTGACAGGGAAAAATGCAAGTTAAATTGGACAAAATTCTACTTGCCTTTTTTTAATTCAAATGCTACTCGCCTAAGGAGAGCAGAGACCAAAGGACATTGCTCTAAACCATTTTGCAATCTCAATCTCTAAAGGCAAAAGGAGAATGGCGATAGATGTAATCGTCAACAACAACTGGATCAGATTCTGTTTCCAAAAAGAAAATGGATGTGAGATTTAAACATGAGTTAAATGTATTATAGGTCTATTAACTTGTGTACGTGTGTCATTTGGGTCCATGAACTTTCAAAGTACAGTTTTAAGTCCCTAAACCTTTTAATTGGTTCACCAAAGGTCCAAGGGCGACGCCACACTATGTTTGGGTGGTGCATAGGCACCAAGCAAAAAAGTCTTTAGGAAGCGTGAAACATGCCCTCTGTATCTTTGGAACAAATCAAAGCAAAAGTGAGATTCTAAATTGCGGCACGAGCAAACAGTTTAGCGGTTTACCATCGAGAGAATTAATCAACTATTTGTTTTACTTTTCCTGCGGAAACAAGCTGTCTTTTAAACTATTCTACTGATTATGTCACAAACTGACGGAAATTTTGTGACGAAACGAATAGGCAACCACAGAGAGCTGGTGGGTAACTCAAGCCTGACAGAACTAAGCTTTTTACTAACGAATTCTGCTGCTACTAGTACTGCACAAGGAAATGAAAAGAAGAAAAACATAATGGCAACAGGGAATTTCAAACAATATGCATGGACAGACATTAGCGGAAGATATCACAAGGAGATTCAGAGTTGAACGCAAACAGAGCTCACATCCTCCTAAAATTCGACTAATATCTGAAATCGAGGGGAAAACACAACATCACTCGATCATGTGTTGCATACATCCAAGTCTACCATTCCTGGACAATAAGGGTCTAGTTAAGAATCTATTTTAAAATAGAGAGGTGTGTTGTAGCTGTCTCGCTCTATACGCTAATATATGATGGAATGAGAAAAAGAGATAAGTATTTTAAGTTTAAGTCATAAGGTGAGATCAATGGGAAGAATGTTAGGTTGATCTCCATCAAGTTGGCCCAACGGCTAATTTGGGCCTTTGATCCACGCCCTGATCGGGGGAGTCCAATCCAATCATAGTTGGTGGGCCCCCATCACGCAGCACTATAAAGAAGAAGGTAGGGGCCGGGGCACTGGGTACGAGGTTCACCATAGCTGCCACAAACCCCACCGACATTCCTAACCCTAATTCGATCCAAGAGGGCAACGCTGAAGCGACGGGAAACTCCACCGCCGCCTCTGCGCCATCACTGCACTGCGACCGACCTCAACACCGTCACCGCGATACCGCCGACCCTAACTGCATCACCTTCGCCATGGCTACGTTGAGCTCTTCCACCAAGCCCACGGATGGTCGGTAACTTATCCCCTTTTTCCCTCTCTGTCTCCCTCTAGGTTTCTTTCAGTAGATCCTACATGATGCTTGGCAGTTTCAAGGTCTTTTGGACGATGCATATGAACAACACTTTTAATATTAGGGCGCAGTCCATCAATGAATCGCATGGTATAGAACAGGGGGTCACGAGATGGTGAATAAACTTTAAGCTGATCCACCAACTCAGAGAAACGAGCAAGGTAATCGGATCCTGTGGAGGACTGATTGATGTGGAAGATTTGTCTGATGAGTAATTCGTGGCGATCGCGATCAAATCGATCGTGGATTTGTGCACAGAAATCCTCCTAGGACCACTCAGGAACTTGAGCCTCCACAGACTGGTACCACAGAGAAGCGGCACCATCAAAGTGCATCTCGGACACATTAATCCACTCAGACTGATGGACGAAGTACATTTTGAAATACTTCTCGGCACGGGTTTTCCAACGGCGTGGATTATCACCATCGAACCGAGGAAAGGGAACTTTTCGGAAGTTTGCCATTGGGATTATACAAGTAATTGGGATCGGGTGGGTAGTGGTTTGTGCGATTATGATCTGGTGGATGGCTAGGCATGCGAATGGGGTCTGGTGGATGGCCAGGCATGCGAATGGGGTTTGGAGGGTGGCTAGGCATGCGAATGGGGTCTGGTGGATGAGGGCGAGGTGGAAGGGAACCGAAGAAGGTTTGTGGATCTGGGGAACGAGAAACTTCTGGGCAAGTCGGACGAGGCGCAGGAGGACGATAAGTGTACAAGCTCGCGGGACCATGCGACGAGAACGGCAGGGAAAAAGGATATGGTAACGTACCATTGGCCGGGATGGGGATCCAGGTCATCGGGACACCGGATCCCGAATCCCGTGGAGTCGATGCAACGTGGGGCCCAACGACGGGCTGATCGCCAGGGAACCCGGCAGAGTGCTGCGCGGCCGCCTGAGTCGGAGAAGCAGCGGACGTTGCTCCGTGAGGCAGTCCGTCGAACACCTCGCGTGCGCGGGAGGCCTCGATGCTCTTGAGAGCGCGGCGCACGTCGAAGACGAGGTCCTCCATATCCGGGCGCCAGGCCGCGAGTGAGGCAGTTGTGGCTTCGAGGGAGGCGACCCTGTCGTCGTCGGCGGCCCGAATGTCGACGCGGAGACCTTCGAGATCGGCAAGCCGCTTGGAGAACTCGGCGTTGCGGTCGGCGTAGCTGGCCTCGAGCTTGCCAACAACTGGTGGAGACGGTAATTTGTGGATCATGGCGCTGGCCTCCAAATCGCATGACAGCGCGCGGAGAGGTCACCGAAGAATGAGGCGTGGGAGGACTCTAGGACGTCGATGCGGGCGATTGTAGAGGTGGAACGCTCGGTGATGCTCATCTCCAAGGCGTCGAAGCGCAGGGACTGCTCGTCGAACCGAGCATTGAACTTCTTCATCTCGTCGAAGAGCAACTTGAAATTGGGATCCATGGCTCCACGAGAGCGTTGGAGGCGGGTATAGTGGGGTGGGAAGAGTGGGACGGGTTCCAGGATGGAGAGAACGAGTCTCTGATACCAATTGTTAACACCAGCAGAAGGGGGAAGGGGATTGGGAGTCGGCGATGCTGGAGGAAGGAGAAGAACAGGAAAGGTAGCGATACAAATTCAGAAATTAGTTGGAGTTTTTCTTCTCTGATACGGAACCCACGCACACCGCCAGCTTATATTACACATGCCACTCGGGGCCAGCGAACCTCCTATTTGGCTGGGCCACGCGCCTGGGCCTTGGGCCGACCTTGGAGCCTTCACATTCTTCAGTATCCGTGTGATCATTAGGATGGGCCTGGTCAGCAGTAGCCTTGTCGCTGACAGTACCCGCTGATCTATCCGCATGTTTTTACAGCAGGATAGCGTGCGGACCTTCTCGCCGGCCTCCATACTGTCCTGGCACATGGTGAAGTTGTAGTTCAGCTTTTGCCTCAGGATGGTGATGCCGCCGAGCCTAAAGAGGAGCACCGGTCTCGAATGCCACCATGCCTTGACCCGGGATGATAATGACGAGAACGAAGACGCAGCTAAGCCCCAGATGATGATGGCGACATTGATGAGAACGATGACGCTGGCGAACAAGATGATGGCGGCAAGGAAGACGGTGATGCTGAAGCGGACGGCCATCGGTCCTTCGCTCCGGCCCCTGACTCTTTCTTGCTTCTTGCGTCTTCTCCTCTCGCTCTCTCTTGCTCTTGCTCTGCTTTCTCGCTCACTCTCCCACGTCGTTCTTGTATTGTGTTGTGCTCGTTTGGAAGGCTAGCCAAATTGGGGTGGCGGCTATTTGTAGGGAGGATGTCGAACTGCTGATAATTAAGTCGGTTGGTTTGATCAGTTCGTTACAAGGTGGGACCCGCGGCTCGATTCCCGAAGGCGGCAGTTGGAGCTGAAGAGCAGGGAGGGCCGAGGGGCTTGGAAATGAGAAGGGCAAGGATGGCTGGAGAGATCGAATTCCCAAGTTTGGTTTTCGAAATGTTTAGAAGTTTGATGTTTCAGAGAGAGAGAGTACATTGACATTGGTGAAGCCAGTAGTAACGCTGTAACGGCAAGGCAATGTGCATGGACTACTCTGAACGCGGTACAGTGAGCAAACCTGAAAGTTGATTCTGAATTGCATTGTCGTTCTTACACTGAAACATTGTCCTAACCCAACCAAGAAATATCACCAGTGACCCTAACAACTAAAGAGCTGCTTGAAGAGATGGATAGGCTAAGAAAGCGGGTGGGGGACACACAATTGACGTGGGAAAAATGCCTCAAGTTAAATTGGACAAAATGCTGCTTGCTTAAGGGGAACGGGAACTGGGGATCTCAACATAGAAAAATTCACAAGAGCACCAGGCTTAGATGACTTTAGCATGAATGGGTCTCAACTGAAAAGGCCTGGGAGGCACTAGAACAACATGTGATGAAAGAGATCAAGTCCTCTTCGTGGCTTGCGCCTCAATCTGCCTGGGGAATTCTGAACTGCTAGGTGACTCAAGCCTGACAGAACTAAGCTTTTTTA